TGAATAAACATCCACAAATCTATTAGTTGAATATATGATAGATAAGGCAATGATATGTACAATTTCATAATATGCAGAGAACAATATGTGCAAAGAAACCAGAGAGGGGAGCTGAGGGAAGTCCTTGCGGGGGGGGGGGGGAGGAAAAAAAAGAGGGGAATGTAAATGGTTATATTGATTGATAATTTGTTTGTTAAAATTGATACACACACACACACACACACACACACATTTCCATACACCACCAATGAAATTAACTAGGCCACTGTAAGAACTATCCTGTGGAAAGAAATCCAAATAGGTGAACCAGTGCCAAGGTGTCTGGAGAGATGCCAGTCCAGAGAATTTTGGCAATGCAAACTTCAAAGCCTACATTCTCCTAAAACCCAGAAAACACTTTTTTTTTCACTTCCAAATGGCACACATTTGTAACAGGGATGAGGTAGAAATTTGATCTGGCTCGCTTTTAAAGATGAACCTACCTAATCTGCAGTTTCTGAAGCATGTCACAAACTGAAACACAGCCATGCTTCTAAATCTGCAGTTCTCTGAATTTTCCAATGCCGTTCTCAGGCAGAGGAATGTGCTCACTTGTATACACTAAAACTGATAAAGTAGGGTAAAGTACACCTATAAATGCATATTGTTAGTGAACATCCTCGGTCTGAAGGGTTTTTAAGTATTTGTTACCAATGGGGTAGGATCTGCTACACCTGTCTTTTTATCTGTGCAGATGTGTTTGTTTGTTTTCTAGAAGACACAACACAAAAGGAAAAGGGGATGAGGAGGGAAGAAGAAATAAGCAAGCTCAGGCACTTTTTCATAGAATCGTACAGCCCAACCCCTTGCAATGCAGGAATCTCAGCTAAAGCATCCATACCAGGTGACCATCCAACCTCTGCTTAAAAACCTGCAAAGAAGGAGAGTCCACAACCTGCAAAACTTTGAGCCCTACTTTAATATCTCAGCTTCTTTACTACTTGCAAAGAAGGCTTAATCATTAGGTTCCTAAGTCACGGAGGCGGGTGTTCAGTTTAATGCCCTTTTTTTTTTTAGGGAACTTGAAGTTGTGCAGGTAAAATGGTAGATGGATCCCCATAGCGTTGATAATTGTTGTAAATTAGGCTTCTGCTTGTTCCTATTAAGAACGCCTGGGGAGTATGGTGACTCTGAATAGTTCCCGGCCCCTTTATTATTGCTTTTTTTTTGGCCGGATTTCAATTGTGGATTAGAAGGCAGGAGCCTTGAAAAGCATCAAGAACGAAGCAACAAAACACTCAAGCAAGGAACGGGGAGCTGTGTGTCTGCCCACACAAAGGACAGGGCTGGAGGCTTCTAAAGGAAATCACCAGCAGAGCACAATTCTCCCTCTCCCTTCAGCTTTCCTGAGTTTCGTTTGTCTTATCCCCCCCCCCTCCACTTCATTCACAGGGCTGCCTCCAGCAGAAGAATTCCAAGGGGGCAGCTATAATTAGCATTCAAGGCACAGTACCCCACATTTAAAGGAGGCGATGATGACTCATCCTAGGCTCAAACTGGATTTGACAACCACGTGCGTTCAAACACGCGCCTGGCCTGTTGACATATCATGGACTGCCACCATGGACATGCTGGAAAGGAAAGCCAAGCCAGTTTAAATGTGCTTCCTTTTGGGCAGGAGTTTTGTTGCAGACACGGGGGACGGGGTGTGTGATGGTGCAGCTGCATGCAGCTTTAAGAATGTCAACCAAGAGGGTTCGGCCATCTTCAGCTAATTAGAAGGAGCAGGAAGAAATGGCCGTATCTCTGAATCAGATAACAAGGGAAGAAGATAACGTGACTTGGATGGTAAAGTCAAACTAGAAGACGGCTCCTGGTTTATTATGCATGTGGCGGAATGAGGGGGCAGAAACCTGCCACAGTAGACAGCAGACACTTCGCAAAGGAGGTGAGAAGTGCTATTGTGAAATGTTCTCCCACTGTAGACCACAAATTGGTCCAATCCCCTTTTAAGGACATATCTAGTGGCAGAGAGTTCCATAGGAGGCAGAATGGCAAGGCAAGGCAGAGAGCCTGATATAGGTTCAGCTAAGACAGCCTTATTCTGTAGTGGTGCACAGGGCATCACTGGCAGTGGGGCAATTATGCTGTGTGGGAACTGGAAGGGCTTTCATTCTCCCCTCTCCCTGATCATGTGTGGTTCAAAACTCCTAGGCAGCGCCTCTGAACTTTCTTACTTTCCCTGCACTGAAGGAGTTTGGACTAGATGACCCTTTCGGCCCCTTCCAACTCTGTAGTAATTATTATTATTATTATTATTATTATTATTATTATTATTATTATTATTATTTGTACCCCGCCCATCTGGCTGGGTTTCCCCGGCGGCTTCCAACAAAGATAAAAAATACATTAAAATGTCACACATTAAAAACTTCCCTAAACAGGGCTGCATTCAGATGTCTTTTAATGTCAGGTAGTTGTTTTCCTCTTTGGCATCTGGTGGGAGGGCTTTCCACAGGGCGAGGGCCACTACTGAGAAGGCCCTCTGCCTGGTTCCCTGTAGCTTGGCTTCTCGCAGTGAGGGAACCGCCAGAAGGCCCTCGGCGCTGGACCTCAGTGTCCGGGCAGAACAATGGGGGTGGAGACGTTCCCTCAGGTATACTGGGCCGAGGCCGTTTAGGGCTTTAAAGGTCAACACCTTTAAGTCTATGATTCTATGACTTTCTCCTACAATCCATTGTTCTGTGGTTAAGAGCCATTTGGGCCCATTCAGGGGAACAATAACAAATGAAACTGATTTGTAAAAATGTTACATGGGGGGGAAATTACGAGAGAGAGATATTGCACACACTTTTGTAAATCAATAAAATCTTTAATAAAAAATAGAAAAGCTAAAAAAGAAATGCTCGCAGCATCTCAGCCGGGGTGGTGGTGGAGATTTGTGGCCCCCTCGATCTTACTGGACTATGGCCTCCATCACCCCTGACCTCTGGCCATGACAGCTAATGGGAGTTGGAGTCCAGCAAGATCTGAAGGGCAACAAGTTTCCCATCCCAGACCTCACCCAAGCCCTTAAAGGTAAAGGTAAAGGTACCCCTGCCCGTACGGGCCAGTCTTGACAGGCTCTAGGGTTGTGCGCCCATCTCACTCAAGAGGCCAGCGCTGTCCGGAGACACTTCCGGGTCACGTGGCCAGCGTGACAAAGCCGCATCTGGCGAGCCAGCGCAGCACACGGAAACGCCGTTTACCTTCCCGCTGGTAAGCGGTCCCTATTTATCTTCTTGCACTTTGATGTGCTTTCGAACTGCTAGGTTGGCAGGCGCTGGGACTGAGCAACGGGAGCTCACCCCGCCGCGGGGATTCGAACCGCGACCTTTCGATCGGCAAGCCCTAGGCGCTGAGGCTTTTACCCACAGCGCCACCCGCGTCCCCACCCAAGCCCTTGCATTCGCCCAAAAACATTTTCCAGGCCTGAATCCTAATGAAATCCTGGAATGGAAACTTCCAGTCCTAATGGCCACCCTCACGGTAAACAAGCTGTAAAGCAGTGCTCTCACCAAATCAAACAATGTTGTGGCGATAATACAGTGTCAGCATGCCACAGCGGCTACACAGGAAATGGCTTCGACTGGCTGGCTGAAACAGGTGTGGACAGCCGATGGGTCTCAAACCCTCAGTGGGTTAGGGACTTCCCCTGCAGTCAAAGACAGACTGCAGCAGATTGAGTGGATGAGTCGCTAACCCTAATCTTTGGGGAAAGATAACGCTAAGGAGTCAACCCTACACAAATCTGGAGTGGGGGCCTTAAGATGGTTGGATGGTGCCTTGTATGTCTCTCTCCAGCAACTCCTGAAACCAAGTTGCAGCCAAACATATTGCTCTGCTTTCCTTTGGACCACATCAGCCAGGCCAAAGTGTGTGGGGAGGGGCGGTTCTTGTCATCTGACCAGCCCAGGATCTCCATACACACTGCCCAGACTTGACCCCAGGAAGGTCCCTTGGGTGCCACTCACACAGTGGTTTGACTTCACGCCCAGAGGTGCACCCCATTGTCTCTCAAGACAGACAGATGCCAACAGAATGGTAGGCTTCGTGGTTGCTTGCCATCAATATGTGGTTTTTTTTGGACATAGCTCTGTATACTACAAGGGATGCGGGTGGCGTTGTGGGTTAAACCACAGAGCCTAGAGCTTGCCGATCAGAAGGTCGGCGGCTCAAATCCCCATGACGGTGTGAGCTCCTGTTGTTCGGTCCCTGCTCCTGCCAACCTAGCAGTTCCAAAGCACGTCAAAGTGCAAGTAGATAAATAGGTACCGCTCTGGCAGGAAGGTAAACGGTGAGTCCGTGCGCTGCTCTGGTTTGCCAGAAGCGGCTTAGTCATGCTGGCCACATGACCCGGAAGCTGTACGCCGGCTCCCTCGGCCAGTAAATCGAGATGAGCGCCGCAACCCCAGAGTCGTCCGGGAATGGACCTAATGGTCAGGGGTCCCTTTACCTTTACCTGTACACTGCACACAAACACCTACATCCCAGAACTGAGCCCTGCTTTCAAATCCGGCTGAATAAATCACACAGATTTATAGGATTACTGTATAGATTTGGAAGGGATCCGCGGTTCATCTAGTCCAATCCACGGTCATGCAGGAATGTCAACAAGCGGTTCCCCCAACCAATTTCAAACCATATCGGACCCTGCTTAGTTTTGCTAACGTGCAAGCGGTTTCATCGCTGCCCCACTGACTTCCGACTACCTAAACCCTTGCGCTGCAGGCAAATAAAGTCTCCTCCCAGCCCAACGCGAGTCGAGCCGTGGGAACACGTCGGCTCCAGCGATTTCCCCATAAATAAAAAGAACGGGGCGTGTTGTGCGGGATGGGAAGAAAAAAGGTGACAATCGGGCCGCTTGGCAAAAAAAAAAAATCCACTTCCGAGGGGAGGCGTTCCTTTCAAGAGCAACCCGCGTGTCAGCCGCCACGTGTGAAGCGACCCTCTGCGCCCTCCCTGCGTAGGAGTCCAGAAAAGACCTTCCTTCTCCGGAGCCGCCTCCGGAACGCGCCTTTCCCTTCTCTGTAGCGGGCAGGACAAGTCACCTCCGGTGCAGCCGCCGAGCCTGCCTGCGTGCCTCGTAACCGGCTGCCAGGCAGCTCCAGGCCCCGCCTTGCGGGCGCTGCCGCCGGGCGCCCAGCCCTCCTCTTCCCCCGCGCCTTCCACGTGGGAGCGCGGGCAGGGCTCTCCGGCTCCCAGCGAGTTTCTTGCAGGGTGGAGACGCAGCGGAGCTTGACTGGCTGGCGGCAGCAGCAGCGTCTTGATTTCGTCCATCCTGGAAGCCTGTCTGCGGGGGGATCCGCTGGATCTCTTTCCCCCCCGCCCTCGGCTTGTTATTTCCCCCTGAGCTTTTCGCGCTCGGTCCGCGAAGGAGTCGAGGAGGAGCCGGCGGCGAAGGATGTGGCTGCCATCCCCGGCTGGATCGAAGAAGTAAGAAGCGGAGGAAGGAGAAACTAAGGAGGGGAGCGGGGCTCTCTCCACGCGGGTAAGATCCCTCTCGGATTCCCAGGGGTTGAAAAGGGAGCCTTTGGGTGGGAGGAATGGAGAGCTGGACGCACGATGGTTGCGTTTATCGACTATATAGCAATTTGCAAATTATTAAATAATGATAGAGAATAGATCCAAGGAGCCTTTTTTTTTCTTTTGCCTCGCAGCAAATACACAGTGTCTTAACTCCTCTCGTTGTTGTTGTTCTCCCTCTCTTCAGTACTCTTTGTAACAGATTTATTTGCGGAATAAGCTCCCCTGAACTAGAACTCACTTGACCAGCTGTGTCTCCTTCCCTTTGCTGCGACTTCTTTAACTCACTCCTAGTTCTGAGCGATCATGGAAGGGCTGGTTTTCCCAGCCGCCAACTCTTGTCAGCCAAAGCAACTCCATCACTTGGGCAATTGTAGGGTTGTTGCCAACTGGAGTTCTCTTGACTTGGATTTAGCTGTGCCTTAGTGCAAGCATGGGGAAATCTGTGGCTGCCTTCCAGGGTGCTGTAGAACTACAACTCCCACCATCCATGACCCATTGGCTGTGCTGACTGGGGATGATGGGAACTGGATCCTGACAGCATCCTGAGGGCTGCACAATTGCCCTTGATATATCCACTTGTGTGTGTGTGTGTGTGTGTGTGTAGAGACGTCCTGTTTACTGAGCATTCATTCTGATGCCTATGCGAGGAAGTTAGATGGTGTCATGTCAAGCAAGGTGTTGTCCCTTACTTCGCAGTGTGTCTCCTTGTCATTTTCCTTAGCCCCAAAACTCTTTATCTTTTTGTGGAATCGGGTTTGACATGTAAGACTTCAGAATCAGCTTTCATTGTGCAACAGGAATTTGCTGATGTAGGATTGATTCCCACCCGAAATTTGTGACAGCCTAGAAGTGCCGAGAGTGAGAGAGAGGTGGCACATTTTTCTTCTTCTCATCCATGGGCGTTCTGTTGGTTAAGTGATGATCAGTGGGAAACCTGTAGAGGATATTTGCTTAGTTAGTGTCCATTCATTTGCCCTCAAGGCTATAATCTCATGTGTATGGTTCCAGTGAATATGTACTTTCTCCCACAAGCATAAACTTAATGTATGTGTATTTACTTGAAAGTATCACTCACTTCAGCGTGGCTACTCCCTCTCAGAATTACAGCCTTCAAATCCTTTGCCACCTTCGCTTTAGGGCAGGTTATGCAAATAAATCTCTGAATAACTTTATCTTTGAAACAGCTGCATGAAAAAACGCTTAGGCTGAGGCCTTGCTCCTATGCTATTAGGAGAGGTGTGGTTTACCACTCACTGCCCTCTGATTGCTCCCAGACTACTCCTAATAACACCTGCAACTTCTGCCCACCTGGTCAGGGCAAAATGTGTGGCTGGGTACACATGATGCGTCGTTGGAAGGATGGGTTGCTAGTGTGTCAGGTAAGTAACTCTGTGATCTGCCCCAAATCACATGGGCAGAAATTGCAGCTGTGACCCAGAGCTATTTATTTATTTAAAAACATAGATACCTCTCCCCTTCATCGGGACTGATTTGCAAGGCAGCTAACAGTTGTTTTTAAAATAAATCAGTGCAACTGAAACAAGCATAAGATGTAGTTAAATAGGCAGTGGTATTGCCTCATATTTATAGAGTGGAGGATAACAGTATCAGTTAAAAGGGGAGGAAGCACTGATTTTTGCAAGCTGAACAAACAGAGGAAGAACATTCAGTGTGGGGCTGTCATGGGACAGTGACAGTTATGTTACTCCCTTGTGCCTCAGAGACAGTGACTTAAGAGTATCCACAATCCAGCGAGCTTTGTGGGGATAAGAACATAAGAGGAGCCTTGCTGGGTCAGAAGATGAGTCCATCGAGACCTGCATCCTGTTTCCAGCTAACCAGAGAAGCCCACAGAGCATGGAGGTATCAGCCCTCCCCAAGCAACTCATATTTGGAGGTATCCTGCCCTTGAATATGGAGGTTCAAATAAGATAGCTGATAGGCTTATCCTTCACAGTTTCGTTGAATCTGCATAATAAAACTGAGTTGAGGCTGGCATAGATTGAGCCAGACCATTGGTCAATCTAGCCCAGAGTTTAGTTTTCCAAACTTGAGTCTCCAGCTGTTTTTGGACTACAATTCCCATCATCCCTGACCAGAGAGAGAGAGAGAGAGAGAGAGAGAGAGAGAGAGAGAGGTGTCTAGGATTAAATACAGGATCTTGTACAAACAGATCATATGATCTATCACGGAGTTGTGAATCATCTCCTAATTTTATTTGAACCTGGATCCCTTGCTCTAAACCCAACACTGCTGTGCTATGATGACTATTATGTTTTGATTTGCATAATTTGTAATGTCACTGCATATTAGGAACTAGATGGTCATTCCAACCACTTCCCTCTGGTAGCAGTGACTGGCACCCCAATCCTAAACCTTTGCTCTGTCTTGTTGCCCCATATCAGAGCAATGCTGCAATGGTGATAGGACGTTTGTATGAAGTTGCACAGGTGCAATTAAATAGTACACCCTCTCTGAAATTACGAGCTGCCTCAGCAAGTTTTTTTCACCCCAACCATCTCTGTTTTTGACCGATGCAACTGAAATCTAAGAAGAGTGTTATCTCCTCCTTCAAATTTTGGCTGACGCATCTATCTCCTCTCTGCTTCGCACACTTGTCCCTGAATAAAAGCTCGCATCCCCTTTCAGTTTGTTTTCCTCTGAATATGATCTGTACTTCAGTACATGTACCAAATTACATCCGTTAGCTTTTATTTAAGCCAGAAATATAAACCCGAGATTTTTATGATTAGCTTTTATTTTTGCAAAGTTATTTACGCTGCAATTTGATAGCTGCTTCCCTCCCCTTCCTCCTCCCCGCAGCTGCCCCTAAAAACACACAGCCTGACCCCAGAATCTACTATGCAAGGCAACAAAAAGTAGAGAGAATCTAGTGCAAGGCCCTTGCCCAGGGCAGTTCCACACCTTGTGCAGTTGAACACCTAGGTTTCTCCACTACCCTGACTTGCTTCCCTGAGGCCTCGCACGCTTGCTTGCAGGCCAAGTGGGGGGCAGCAGTGGCCGGACAGAGGGGTGGCTTTTGTCTGCACATTCCACCCTTGATGCCAGCAGCATCCCTTAGCAATGTGCACATGCGAATGGTTCACCACAGATCTTACCCCATAGAGAGGGCATGGCTATTCTCTTGCGTTGTCACAGATAAACCATGTATTTCTCCTTTTTTTAATATATCTTTATTAATTTAAAATAAATACATTTATGAGAAAACAGACATACAGACAAGTAAGCAAACATGCAACAAACAAACAACAAACAAGTAACAGAAAATTCAAACAAACCACCACACTATAAGCTACAAAGATTAATATAATTATCATCATATATACTTATAGAGAAGAAATTTAAAACTGACTTCCAATTAATCTCACTGTACTTTATCTATCTATTACTTTATACCGCACAGTTACATAAGATAAACCATGTGTTTCAACGGAGGCAGCATGGCTATTTATCTGCCAGTCATCAAGTGAAGAAATATCAGGCGATGTACATATAGGCGTGAAGCAACCCTAAGTGGAATCTTATCAATGTAAGTGGCCAAAAGGTCCCTGAGACCATAAGGAATGGCTGTAGCTCAGTGGTAGAGCATTAATAATAATAATAATAATAATACTCCACCCATCTGACTGGGTTGCCCCAGCCACATGGGGTAGCTTCTAACAAAAATATAGGAAAACCAACAGCATCAAACATTAAAAGCTTCCTGAAACAGGGCTGCCTTCAAATGTCTACAAATTTTTTTTCCGTTATTTAACTCATTAACATCTGCCGTGAGGGCATTCCACAGGGCGGGTGCAACTACTGAAAAGGCCTTTGTGCGCAGAAGGTTTGGGGATTGGTAATCTGTTCTCAATCCTCCTAGTGATGCAGCAATAAAACTGCCAGCATATTTGCAAAGCTAAGCAGGTCTGGTTTCAAATTTGTTGGGGGGTCGTGTGTTGAGATTCCTGCAATCATTCCCAATGACCATCGGGGTCCCTTCCAACTCTACCGTTCTATGAATTCCAGGAATCCTCTAAGCTTCCATTTCATTGGATGGCTTCGGTTTCTAGTTCTGTATAAGGAGATGAGGTTTGCCCTTGATTGCCTTTCTCTGCATTGTGCATTATTTTATACACACCTGTCATGGAAGGGGAACCATGCATACAGCCTTGATATCCTGGAAGAAGAGGCAGGATATAAATAGGACAAATGGAGAAATATACCCATCCAACATGATCACAAAATGTGAACACAAAGCGTCCGTGCGCATCAAGTTCCAAAGCCAACATAGTCCAATCAGATTATAGGATGTCAGGAACAAGCTTCTCCCCCTTCTATCACCCATCCATTCAGAAGGAATAGAAGCAGCTGCTTGGAGGGTTTCAATGGCCGGTGATTGTAAATATAGCTGGGAAACAAATAAGCTAAAATATATATTTGTACTTTCTCATGGAAAATGGGGTTGGGCTGCTTTCCTAAAAAAAGCACTTCCTGTGTTCTAAAAGTAGCTTGTAAGATAGAAGATCAAAACCAGCAAGAACAGCTCCTCCATATGATGGGGCCATCACCCATATTATGGTTTGTCAATTGCCACATTGGGTTAGACGCAGTGTTTCTCAACCTGTGGGTCCCCAGATGTTGTTGGACTACAACACTCATCATTCCTAGCCAGCATGACCAGTGGTCAGGGATGATGGGAGTTGTAGTCCAACAACATCTGGGGACCCACAGGCTGAGAAACACTGCCTGGTGCTGTTAACACCAAGGTTGCAGGTTCGATCTCCAGGTTTGCGCCCCAGGGAGGCCGTTCCAGTGCTCCTCACGCAGTGGCTTGACTTCACCACTGGAGGCGCACTCCATTGTCTTTCGTGACAGACGGATGGATGGTCCTCTGTCGTGGATGGTTTAGTTGAGATTCCTGCATTGCAGGGGGTTGGACTAGATGACCATTGGGGTTCC